TCCTCTGCTGATACTCCAGAATATCCTGCTGGTACTCTAGACAACACATCTACCTCTACAAAAGAGTTCATGCTCGCTCTTATGTTTGTAGTTATTACCTGGTCTCCTATAGGTAAAAATGAGCACAGTGAAAATGGTGAATTTAAAACTCACCTAATAAACAATACTCTCTAGCTCTCTACCAAACCTCGCACTATCTTATGCTCTGAATCTCCTACTGCTTGAGAGATAATTGCTGAGGAAAACGCCATGCCTACAGGTCTTACTGCAGAAATGGAACGTGCCGCTGAAATCCGGGAACACCGGAAGATACTGGCAAAAGCTTGCACCATCTGGCATGAGGAGTATGAAATTATATCTCCCGCCAACGCTCCGACAGATGAGATCAGATACGCAATCTCTATCGCGAAGGAGTGGAAGGATAAAATCTTAGACTCTCGTACTGAATGTGAAGATATTCCTGATACACTGGATCTACGTGAGAGGGCTAGTGTTGCTAGAGCTGGTTTAATCAAGTACATCTCCGAGGCCAACTTAGAACTGAGAAAACTTGAAGATAAAGCAGTTGAACGTGCCTTGACTCCGCAGCTCAATACTTCTACTGAATCTAACGGAAATAAAGCTAAGGCAGACAGAGTTATTGCTAACTCTGAATCATCAATTGGTCAAATGCAGAGTCTAGCAGACGACCTCTTGAGACTAACCATGGAGCCTCCAACTAACCAGCTAGAGTTTCGAGGGTTTCAGGAAAATGTCAAATCTGCCCGTGAAGAGGTGACTTTGGTTAAAAATAATGCTAAAGTTTTAATTGATCTCGCGTTTGAATGTGATCTCGGTGATGAAGGAAATAAACTTGAATCTGCCTTCAAAACCATGGAAGAGCGTGAACGTGAACTAATAAGAGCTCTACGTGAACATAGAGCTAATTATGCTGTCCTGGCTGACTCCAAGCTTAGTGATATTAAACCTCCTAGTTTCTCTGGAGAACCTAATGATCGTCTCGACTTCTACAGCTTCAAAGAAGATTGGGACAATTACGTCAACATCAAAGGACCCTCTAAAGCAGAACAGCTTCGAATCCTGACTAAACAAAGCCTAACTGGTGTTGCCCGTGCCGCTACTAAACACATGGAAAACATCGACGAGATCTTTGCCCACTTAAAGGAATCGTTTGGTAATGCTAGTGATCTCTTCTCTCGCCGAGTGGAAAACATTAGAAAGCTGGGTATCTGCAAAGGTTCAAATGAACAAAAGAGAAGATGGGCTGTTGAGGTACGTGCTCACCTCTTAAATCTTGTGGACTTGTCTAAGAAGCATGAGAAATATGAGGACTTGTATACTCACCACATAGTTGCGGAAATTCAGGAGGGATTCCATCCTGATGTTTATAAGGACTTTTATAAACTTGTTCGTAGTTATGAAGGTGTTGCTACTAGGAGGGTTGTCTTTGAGCTCCTCGTCGACTACATGGATGAGGTGGTAGATCTCTACAACCATCAACACGCGTACAAGCTGGACTTTGGTGTCGACCCTAAGAAGTATTACAAGTCTAAGTCTGAAGCTGAGACTTATACCCTGTCATCTGGCTCCGACTCCTCCGATGCCTCCGGTGAACCTGAGACTTATACTCTGTCATCTGACTCCGACTCCTCTGATGCCTCCGGTGAACCTGAGACTTATACTCCGTCATCTGACTCCGACTCCTCTGATGCCTCCGGTGAACCTGAGACTTATACTCCGTCATCTGGCTTCGACTCCTCCGATACCTCCGGTGATCTTGATGCTCTCCAGCCCCTTGAGCAGGCTGCTCGGGACGCTGAGAGAAACTTCCTTTCAGGATCTGCTGAGGAGGATTAGCTGAGATTATGGTGAACCCTGGATTTAGTAACAAAGCGACCTGTGAATTCCTATATACTAAAATTTCAGTGATTAATTATAAATCCAGGACTCTTCACCAATCCATTAATCAACAGAATAAAATAAAACAAGTCCCTGTGCTTAGTGTGATAATATTATAGAAACTGTGAATTCTCTGAAAACACCTGAACACTTTCCCTGCCGCCCAGTGTAAGATCTGAGGATCATTAAAGGATAAAATTTTATTATTGTTATGAATATAATTAACCCTGGACTGATTTATTGTGTTTTCAGTTCACGGTTGAGTCCTGTATAAACTGCCTACCTGAAATATATACATAAGATTTAATCAGTGCAAATTGAGGTGAGCTGAAGAGAAAGAGTTCATGCTCGCTCTTATGTTTGTAGTTATTACCTGGTTCCTAAAGGTAAATTTTGAGCAGATGCTGCCGGAGCTGCCTCGGAGTTAGATCTTCTAGCTCCAACTTCGTGCAGAACATGCTCCAGACTCGGAGCTGTTGGAACCTTCTCTAGATCCCTGTCTCGCGGAACTCCTGTATCCCCACGAAGTAGACCTCTACGCTTCCAGGGTGCTGCTGGACATGTATCTCGGACTCCTCCTCCTTGTCCAAGCACTCGTTCATCAGGACTTCCTCTAAATTCAAGTATAGCATTTAGCCCTGCTTCTCCTACCTCTGACGGACTCGGAGAATGGAATAACTCTGGAAATACTACCAGTTCAACACATTTCGTTATATCAATCATAAACACTAGTGATGAAAAATCTGATAGTAGCGGAACTTTAATTCCTGGGAGTGCTGATAACTCTGAGGAAGAAGAAGAAATATTATTATCTCCTACTGCTTGAGAGATAATTGCTGAGATAAACGCTATGCCTGTAGGCTTTACTGCTGAGATGGATCGTGCTGCTGAGATTATCGAGCACTAGAAAATACTAACTAAAGCCTGTACAATCTGGGAAGAAGAATATGAAAATATATCTCCCGCCAACGCTCCAACCGATGAGATCAGATCTGCGATCTCTATCGCGAAGGAATGGAAGGATAAAATCTTAGACTCGCGTACTGAATGGGAGGATATTCCTGATACACTGGATCTATGTGAGAAGGCTAGTATTGCTAGAGCTGGTTTAATTAAATATATCTCCAAGGCCAACTTAGGGCTGAGAAAACTTGAAGATAATTCAGTTGAACGTGCTTTGACTCCGCAGCTCAATACTTCTACTGTGTCTAACGGAAATAAGGCTAAAGCAGACAGAGTTATTACTAATTCTGAATCATCAATTGGTCAAATGCAAAGTCTCGCAGACGACCTTTTGAGACTATCCATGGAGCCACCACAAAACCAGTTAGAGTTTCGAGGCTTTCAGGAGGATGTCAAATCTGCCCGTGAGGAGGTGATTTTGGTTAGAACAATGCTAAAGTTTTAATTGATCTCACATTTGAATGTGATCTTGGTGATGAAGGAAATAAACTTGAATCCGCCTTCAAAACTATGGAAGAGCGTGAACTTGAACTAATAAGAGCTCTACATGAACATAGAGCTAATTATGCTGTCATGGCTGACTCCAAGTTCAGTGACATTAAACCTCCTAGTTTCTCTGGTGAACCTAGTGATCGTCTCGACTTCTACAGCTTCAAGGAGAATTGGGACTATTACGTCAATATCAAAGGACCTTCTAAAGCAGAACAGCTTTGGATCCTGACTAAACAAAGCTTTGCTGGTGTTGCCCGTGCCGCTACTAAACACATGGAAAACATTGACGAGATCTTTGCCCACTTAAAGGAATCGTTTGGTAATGCTAGCGATTTATTTTCTTGCCGAGTGGAGGATATAAGAAAGCTTGGTATCTGCATGGGTTTAAATGAGCAGAAAAGAAGATGGGCTGTAGAGGTACGTGCTCATCTCTTAAACCTCGTGGACTTATCTAAGAAGCATGAGAAGTATGAAGATTTATATACTCATCATGTGGTTGCAGAAATTCAAGAAGGTTTCCACCCTGATGTTTACAAGGACTTTTATAACTAGTTCAGGGTTATGAAGGTGTTGCTACCAAGAAAGTTGTCTTTGAGCTCCTCGTTGACTACATGGATGAGGTGGTGGATCTCTACAACCATCAGCATGCCTACAAGCTGGACTTTGGTGTCGACCCTGATAAATATTACAAATCTAAGTCGGAAGTTAAGAAGACAACCTCGGTTCCTCCTAAGCCTGCTCCGAAATCCAAATCTTATACTACACTCTCTGTCTCCTCTTCTGTCGGCTCCGGCTCCTCCGGTCCCTCTGGTAAATCTGGGAAAGGAAGAAATAAATCTAAAGGTAACATGGTCCACGTATCGTCTACTTACACGGATCCTGCTATGCGTCCCTGTAAGGTCTGCTCCGGTCACCACACCCACGTCTTCTACTGTGAGAAGTACATCGCCTCCAATGTCCTGGTTGACCGTTATAAATTAGCACAGAAGTTTCAAGCCTGCTTCCGTTGTCTCAGAATGGATTCAGATATTAACCTCAGTGAACGTGCTAAATGGGAAGCTGCTCATGATGTAAACTGTCAGAGTGAATGGGTTTGTGAAACCCAACAGTGTGGAACTCGTCCCAAGAATCGTCAGTGGCACTTCACACTGTGCGCATGGCACGTTGAGGAAAACCAGAAGCACCAGAAAAACTTTATAAAAAATCTGGATCAGTCTCAGATTAAGCCCGAAATTTCCTTCTTCTTCAACAGCCCAACCTGCTACACCCTGAACTCCATCTCCAAATCCACGCCCAGGTTACACCACAACTCCGATCCCAACTCCAAGAACCTCGATGACTATGATAATCCCTCAATTTTCATGCTCCAGGAATACAAGATTAACAATAGGAAAGCTCTCATGTTTTACGATTCTGGATGCATGGGAGCAGCTGTTTCTGATTGCGGAGCTATTCTTTTTGATAGTATCTGTGTGCGTCCTGGTCCTACTACAATGAATGTTGCAGGAGGAAAGACTTTTGAGATTGAAGCTGGTGAGGAAGAGTTTCTCCTGGATCTTGTAGCTCATAAAACAAAGGCTACAATAAACCATAAGATTGAACTTACCTCTGGAGAAATACAAATTTATGGCAAAGATGCATAAAAAACCATAAGATTGAACTTACCTCTGGAGAAATACAAGTTTGTGGCAAAGATGCATAAAAAACCATAAGATTGAATTTACCTCTGGAGCTCCGCGGCACGTGATCTCCTCCCTTTGCTCTCGTCGGACTGAGAAGAATCCTTCCTGCTGATCCCTTCGCGGTCTTACATCCTGGAATGAAAACATTTTACACTAATAAATCTCGTTTCATATTTTCAAAAAAATAATCAAGTAGCCAGATCAAATCAATAATGTGGGAATTTTCTATCAGCTCCAAGGTTAATTTGAGTTAATATTCTATAACCGAGGTTAATGGAAGTTCCAGCACACGATCAAATTCGAGCCGTGTATTAAAGGGGAGAATAAATTTGAATTCGTTTACCGAGTTGCATCCCTTTAAAACATAATCAGAGTAAAAATGATGTGGATAAATATAGTTTTTAATATTGTGAAGTTATTAAATTTTCTATCCTTCATCTATGCTAAATAAATCCGCAAATAACCTAAACAGAGAAACCGAAATTGAAAATAATCAATTTTAGCTAGAAAAGTTAAGATATGTCATTCATCTATTATCCGGCAAAAATGTAAAGGATACCAAACCGTTGTAAATCGGACATGCCATTCTATAAACGGAAATTGAAATTACGTTTACAGTTCATTTGACACGCCAATTAATGATAAACTTAAAGGTTAAGGAATGGTGCTCCCCCTATGGCAGGGGGGGGGGGTGATTACATAAGATGATTTCAAAGATCAACTGTAGACTGGACATTAAACAGGATACCTTTTTGTAATGATCATTTTCCTTATCTCGTTTCCAAACTTTTCCTCCTTCCTTCTCTACATGAGGGTTGTGAGCCATCGAGAGTAATCTCTTCTTTCTATCCCTAGATCTAGAAACCATGGTATAAAATATAATGTTAACATACATATCACTACCTCTCCCTTGAAGTTAACCAGGGTTTAGCCATAAACTTTCACTTTTAATTGTCCGTCAAAATAAGATAATATTTTCAGATTTAAAAAACTTTAAAGTTAAAAAGAAATATTCTACCATTAACCAATGTTAGAATAGGTATTTCGACTAGAAGGTTCTCAACTAACTCCCAAAATAAGTATAACGGTAGTAACATTTTTTACTAATAATTAGGATAATTGTGACTAAACATTTAGTATTACCATCGGCCTGAAAAAATAATTGCGGTTTTTTTTGTCAAATTGTGCATTTTTAAAATTATTTCGATAAATCCCAAAAAGTTGAGTATTTAAGTCTAATTAATTATTATTTTGTATCCTTTTTAGCCATTTAAAATATAAGCAAAGTCGCCAGAGGACAAATATGAATTTATGTAATATTTTAAACATCTAACCCCTCCTCCATGTGTAGAGTAGAGTGTAAGGTACCTGGATCTACCCCTATCCCCAGAACTATCTGTAGACTCGGAATCACTTCTCCGTCTTCTATGTTTCCTACTCCTTCTCTCAGAACCACTAGAGTCAGATCTATGACCCATCTTGAGTTTTTAATCTGTTATTATTTCTTCTCCACCGGTTTGGAATTTGTTTTTAACCTCTATGCACTATCTTTGCATATCAAGGACCTAGAAAATTATGTAAAATTTTAGATGTTAATATTTCTGGTTTTTATAAGCAAGGCATCATAAGATAGGATAAGAAAAAGATCATGAAAGATCCTCAATGTGGGATCCCCAGACCTCCGTCCGAGTTGATATATTCCAATCCAAAAAAAAATATAATATAAAATATTTTTTTACTGACTTTTAAAAGGTATGGACTTGAATGAAATTGGGATTAATTGATGTCAGAATTGCCCAACAAGAACAATAAAACCGAGTTAACCTTACTCCGAGTTTTCAGTTGCTGCGAAATGCGCATACTAGGAGTAAAATTATCCTACCTGCTCCCTTACTTGACTGATCTTGTCCGTGGATATTTGAACCCGTTCTTGTTGTTCTCCGAGCTGTGCGGTCAGCACGGAAATACGGTCAAGCTAGATTAATAGTACTAATTAATTACAGAGAAATGAAAAGAGGTGTAGTAATTATTTTAGGACAGTAGGTTTTCCTTATTATAACTTGTAAGTGTACCACCCATCATTCCGACAGAACCGGTTCCAATCATAGGTTTTATATCTTTAATATTAAAGTTTACGTATAGCAAAAATCTATTATAAATTCTTTCTCTTTTGCTGCTAGTAACTTTTGACGATACAAATGTATGGCAAAGATGCATAAAAAAACCATAAGATTGAACTTACCTCTGGAGAAATACAAATTTATGGCAAAGATGCTATAACGATAATGAAAATAATAATGATAAAAATATAAATAACAGTAACAGCTGTAGTAAGTTCCACAATGTTGATATAAAATTCCCAACCAAGTTTTCCCAATTTTTATTCATAAAATGTTATGAATAGGAATTCTAAATGTGGGGGGGGAGCAAAGTGATTAGGATCCGTAATTGTTGTTGAAACATGTTCTAAAAATTAGCTGATTTTTTTCAACATTCTTTTTGACTTTGATTTGGATCCGGTCTAGAATCCGGATCCATTTATTTTAGATCCAATCACCCATGTTGGAATTAATTTATTTATGAGATTGTAAATAAATCACCTTCTCCGGGTAGGAGCTGAGTACCCATCTCCTTATGGCTGAGTATAACCTTCTGTGGAAGAACTGGTCCAATAAACTCAGATTCAGAATCAGAGTTCTTTTTCCGCTGAGCTTTAACAGCCTAGACGTCAAACAGATATAATAGCATCAGAAAACAGATATAGTACAGGGTGTCCCAATAAACAGATATAGTACAGGGTGTCCCAATAAACATGGGAAACCAGTGACGAATTCGACATCGTCTTTGTTATGAATTATCATTGTAATACATGATTTCAAAACCCATAATATTATTATGTCTGCTAGAGTTTATTTTATGAAAATGGTAAATGGGTGCAAAAGATGTGTCTATAATGTCTCTGCAAGATGAACATTGAAGACGGACAAGTTTACGCTGTTTGTGAATGTTATTGTTTTACTAAGTACAACCGTATGCGCAGTCAAAACAAACAAACAAATTGTAAACATAACAGACGAAACTCTTACAGGTTACAGCTTTCTCAGCAGGTATCACTATACTATATCAAAGAATTATTTAAAAAGATGATATCGAATTCGTTACTGAATTCCCATGTTTTTTGGGACACCCTTTAGCATCAGGAAACAGATTGGGAGACAACACAAAGATCTGTTGCAACGCAGAGGTATTTATTTTTTTGAAGAATTGATTCAAATGATTTTCAAAGATTTGGGAAAACATGGAAAATTTTACACCAAACTGGCAAGTTTATTCACACTGTAAGAAAAGGTTTTTGAAGAGGCGGTAGAGAGGGGGAATTTATTTTAAAGGGAGTGACCGGCTATGTAAGGTAGTTGAACTGAGAATGCAGTGTTGTGGAAAACTTCTTTCGGATTAATTTGAGACATATTAAACTTTTTAAAGATCTGTAAATCCTGAGTTTGAGCGCAAATTCGATGTTCAAAACTCCTACTTTGGGGTGAATACGTTTTTCAGAATTAGTGTTTTTAAATTATAACGACGACTTAAAATGTAAAAAAAGTTCTACAATAAACTACAGACGTCATGTATAGGAACATGTTGAGAAAATAAAAATTTATCTTATCATCGAAAATAAGTAATCTTGTTCAATTATTAGTTTCTATTTTCTCATTATTCTGGTTTCTCATTATTCACAAAGATCTTCGCAGATTTTCTATAACTATTATTGAAAAGACGACATTTGAAGAATTTGAAGAAATCTGCGAATAAATTCAAAGAAGATAAGAAATTCAATATTATAATGAAAACGAAATAATCGATTTTAGCATTGATTTATTGAAAAATTTCTTTTGAGAAATATGTTCCTAACCATCTAATTAGACTACTGTATAATTTTTACTTTATTTTTCAATGTCGTTATTTAATAATAATAAAAAACTAATTTTGAAAACGTATCCACCCCCAAAGTAGGAGTTTTGAACATTGAATTTGCGCTCAAACTCAGGATTTACAGATCTTTAAAAAGTTTTATATGGCTTAAATGAATCCGAAAGAAGTTTTCCATAACACTGCATACTCAGTTCAACTACCTTACATAGCCGGTCACTCCCTTAATAGGAAAATATACACTCCTTTCCGTTTGACTGTTGTAAGCAATATGAAAATTAATCTAAGAAATGTTACCTCTAAAACATCCTTCTCAACCCATTCATCATCACTGCTCTCACTTGAACTACTACTGCTTGATTTCTTCTTCTTCTTCTTGGATTTCTTCTTTTTAGACTTCTTCTTCTTATCCTTCTTCTTTTTGTCCTTCTTTCTCTTCTTTTCTTCCTTTGTCTTCTCGGCAATATCAGGTTCACTCTCAAGATCTGAATCTTCTCTTTTTACAGGAGATCTTCCCCAAACCTAGAATTTCTTAAATGTAGTTTTAGTTGTATAGGATGTTGAGTAAATAATGGGTATCAGCTCCGCTCTTCAAAAATCAGGTTTATTCCATTTTGATTGCCCGGAGTGGAAAACCTTTTTTTAAAATTGGGAGAAAATAAATGAATTAAAAGAGAAAAAATGAATTGTTGGGTAATGAATATAAAAATGGTGAATAATCTAGCCAACCTTCCCATCCTCACAATTTATACATAACAATTACACATAACTTGTTAAAAAATACAAATTTATGGCAAAGATGCAAAAAAAACCATAAGATTGAACTTACCTCTGGAGAAATACAAAATTGCAAAGATGCATAAAAAAACCATAAGATGGAACTTACCTCTGGAGAAATACAAATTTATGGCAAAGATGCATAAAAAACCATAAGATGGAACTTACCTCTGGAGAAATACAAATTTATGGTAAAGATTCATAAAAAAACCATAAGATTGAACTTACCTCTGGAGAAATACAAATTTATGGCAAAGATGCATAAAAAACCATAAGATTGAACTTACCTCTGGAGAAATACAAATTTATGGCAAAGATGCATAAAAAACCATAAGATGGAACTTACCTCTGGAGAAATACAAATTTATGG